AATTGTACAATAGAATCCAAGAACCTTATGTATACAAATATAAATTTGAAATAAAATGGATTGAAGTCTTAATTTTTCAAGAAATATTACTTAAAAGTTCTTCTTAAAGTTCCTGTGCACTTAAAATTCTGTGTTTGTGTGTGAGAGAGCGAACATTAAGGCGTATTCTGCAGAGTCATAAACTCCGAAACTGTACGATTTTGGGGATTTTTTTTCGACTTTTCGGCTGCTCATACACACGTCAATGCAACGCCTATAAAATCCACATAAAAGTCAAGTCAATCAATGAAAGGGCAGACGAATAAATTACCCACAAAAGAGTAGAGCAACAACAAGTAATTTAAGCGTTAAACACAGACATCGAAGGCGCCATGAATTATCACCTTTCAGGCGGAGGAAAGGCTGCAATTAATCCAAGCAAAAAGTTTATTAAAATCGAATTAGTTTTCCCCAAAAACAAAACAGACGACACCCACATAGTCTGAAAACAACGAGCCCCAATGGAGCCGCAAGTGCGGAATTTTGGCAATTCCGGGAAGCATACATATGTTCCATCCGCATGACCTGCCGCCTGCGTTCTTTCTCTCTTGGCCAAACAATTTGATTTGCGTATTCGTATTCCTTTTCCAATACCCACATGTTTTTCCATTATACATTTTCAATTTCCATTTCACTTGATTGAAGTTTTGGCCTTTTGCACATGGTTTTGTTTACGCCTTAAGCAAAACGCCGACACGCGCATATTTATTTACATTCACACAATCGAATTGTTATTCTTGGCGGGGGCAAACTAAAAACTGACCAAAATAACTAGAGTAAATAAACAATTTGATTAGGCAGATAAAAATAAAAAGTGAAAAAAAAGTATTGTCAGAAGTGGGATTCGAACCCACGCCTACAGAGTAGACTGCGACCTGAACGCAGCGCCTTAGACCACTCGGCCATCCTGACTATGATAGTAACGAGAACTGGGAAATGCTGTGAGGAAATTCTAATTATTTCAAGCGTTTTCCTTAATTATATAAATTAAAAGTACTAATCTTGGTTAATTTACATGGGAAGAATGAAATGAAAAGTGAACTTAATCGTCATAAGGTCGTTCATCGCTTTGAAGTAGCTTAAACTTACCAAAGGTTATTTGTATAAATAAAATTATATTTGTATAAATTAGAATGTAATTACAAGAATTAAGTTATTTGATTTAAAAAAGGAAAAAAAATCTTGTCAGAAGTGGGATTCGAACCCACGCCTACAGAGTAGACTGCGACCTGAACGCAGCGCCTTAGACCACTCGGCCATCCTGACACATGGGATGAGCATACCAAATGCGCGTTTTCCACAACGCTCGCTCGTTTGTTCGTTCTTTCGTTCTGCTATAAAAAGTTTTTATAGAAATCTACCATAAACTCAGCCAGTCTGTCCGAGTTTATATGCAAATAAGGCAACTTTCTTACGATAAATTAAACCGTGGGATAGTTGTGGTCGTTAATTTGCTGGCATTACAAAACTAATTGTGAGTTAAATAACAAGAACTGTGCAATTTTGTGACGGTATAATTGCAAATTAAATCGATTCGATCAGCTGCTTTGCCGCTGCACTTTGTTCAAATGCCGACAAACTGTTTACAAAGTCGTTTTCATACAGATATATATCTTATCTCTGGGTTTCGGGGTTGGGCTGGCGTAAAAATCGCAGACAATCGCTGCCAACGAACAAAAGAAAACAAGGCCTTTCAGAATAATATCTGTATCTCTGCGGATTTCCCAAAAAGCGTAACTGGAAAAGAGGTCAAGACCCGTGGCAATCCTCGATATTTGAGCCAAAAAAAAACGAACTGGCTAATAATAATCCGGTTCAAGGGGGCGTGGCCACGCCTTGGGAACGGAACCGTTAAAAAATAAAAAACCAACCGAACCCTACTCATTAAGCGGCGGCCGTCTTTGGTAGTCTTTTAATACTTTGTATTATTTATTATGACTGCTGTTCGCTGTGAGAGTCCGCTTTTTCGTTGGGGAAATGGATATTTTAATGAGTTTGGCCAGCCGCGCACTCGACGACAGTTTTTCCGTAGTCGAAAAAATACAAATTAGATTTTGACACTGTTCGGAAAGATATATTCGCAGCCAATGAATAGATGAGCATTGTTTATGCCTTTCCTTTGACTCGAAGCCGACATCTTTATACGCATATAGTACAGATAGATATGCCCATAGACATCTGTCTGAGTTTGCGAATGGACGTAATTTGCATTTGCGCATTTTTCCGCTAATTATTTGTTTATCGCAGGAAAATAACCAAATTGATGTGAAAAATTCAAAATCAATTCGAAAATTGTTTTGACAAGCGGCGCGGAAATTATTTTTGCCATTGAACTTGTTGTCTTTCCCTTCCCGATATAGTTAAAATAAACAAATTATAGTGCAGTCGAAGTGCTGTAAAGGGGCAAAAGGAGGGGGCTATCAGACAGCTAAACCCAGTTTAGTTCCAAGGCAAGTAGCGCTTGATAAGTTATACTCTCTCATTTATAATCATCGAAATGGGTCAGCGGCACTGCCTCAAGTCGAGCAACAATTGTGCACGCAATTTTTATTCATTTAGAATGCATCAAAAAACCATTAAAGTGCGAAAAAATTATACACTTATAGACAGAGAAATATATGACAGCAATGAAGAAAGGTGGGGGTAACTCGAATTTGCTGGGGGTAATATAAAACTGACACCATTTAATAAGCCAAGTGAAGTTAAGTTTGCATTTCTCTTCGCCTTATTTGTTTGTAAACAAAGCAAGTTGAAGCTGACACAGTTGGATTGGAGTCTGATTCCGATTCTGATTTCCAGGGCAGGGGCTCAATGCCATTTGGCTGGGTCAGTTTTGCGGTTACTAATATATATATTCACTGCAAGCGAATGCATGGAGTTTCGCGAAACCCACTGAGTCAACAAATTTGAGACGGGAATTGCAACCATTTGTATTACAAGGTCTGGACGGGTTAGTTATCAGCGCAGTTTCGAGTGTTTATCGGCACTGGGAGGGGATTCCTCTCCTCTGGCCATAAACCCCTGTGTTCCATTAATGCCCAAACAAACCCATTCCCCATGGTCAAACGTTTGATGAATGACTTTGCAGCGCAGTCATGTTCAGGCCGTGATAAGCCGTTTTGCTGTACGCCTAATGCACTTAAATGCTCTCATCGATTACCCAATATCATGTGAATGAAGCACAATAACCACAGTAAAATAGTGGTTTGTACTTTTTATTGAAGACCAATTGTCAGCATGGCGTGAGAAATTACTTTTGTGTGATTTAAGGGGCTTTTTCACCCTACCTTTCCGATAAAACACAACAAAGGCTAACAATAATAAACATAGAAAAATATATGTACTTGATTTAACTGAAGAAATGTAAACAAATCAATCCTTAACGAATTCGAACCGAAATCTTCAGAATGCCAATGTATTTCACTGGAATTTCGAATTGTGCCATAAATAATAAAATAAGTTATTGATTGGAAAATAAAAAAAAATCTTGTCAGAAGTGGGATTCGAACCCACGCCTACAGAGTAGACTGCGACCTGAACGCAGCGCCTTAGACCACTCGGCCATCCTGACTATGAAAGTAGCGAGAACCAGATATTCTTGAGACAATAATTGTATTATATCGATATAGTTATAATAATTAAAATGTAATTTACATTATAGTCATTAAAGATGAGAACAAAATATCTGGAAAAGAAACAAGTCGAGCTGAGTCAGAATTAATATATGTATAGAAATACAGATAACAAGGTATGATTGCCAGGACATATATTTTTTAATTATATCAATTAGAAGGTATTTTAGATATAACTATTTATTTGCGTTAAAAAAAAATAGAAAACAAAATAGTCTTGTCAGAAGTGGGATTCGAACCCACGCCTACAGAGTAGACTGCGACCTGAACGCAGCGCCTTAGACCACTCGGCCATCCTGACTTAAAATAACGAGCTGTCAAAATATCTGTGAAAGCAGGGGCATTACAAAGAAAGCAAAATAAAATAAACAAGTAATACAGATAGGTAAATAAATATCATGTTTATACTAGACTCTCGAATAAATCTACTTTTTAGATCGATGGCCCGGCCGATTTAGCGGTCATAGATGATGATCAATGCCCTCAAAAGTTGAAAGATCAATTTCCGAGTAACCTTGTGCTCTTTATATGCCTTCATGTGTCTGCGGATTATAATCTCAAAATTATCCAAACGTTCCAAGGTGCAAAGGTGCAAAACGATGGAGGATTCTCCAGCCAAAAGTACTCGGGAAAGTTTATAGTAATCATTTACAAACTGTTCCAGATAGTCAAGATTCTTTATGTTGGCTATTCTTTGGTAGTTCTTGAAGATTTCTTCTATATTTTCAGCAGAAATTGAGGTATTTAATATTTCAGAGCAGGCATTTTGAGCATACGGATTATGCACCATCGAATATCGCCAATATTTCGAATCAGCAATGAATAACAAATCAGTGTGGGTGCTGTGCATTATATCCGAAAAAATCTTGACCACACTTTGATTGATTAAATTGTTTTGAAGTAACACAAATTTCATACTAAAACACTTAAGTTTGGGTATCTCATTTCGAATTAAATTGCTTAAAATATCACTGATAAATGTCTCTTTATCTTCCACCTTTGCATCTTCCAAAACTCCGAAATAAATGACCAAATGGAAACTTTCGAATATGCCACACAGACTAAATATAAGAGCACTATAGCTGATATGCAAAGATATCATACGGAAGGTTAAAAAGTATGGCTTTATCCGAGTTTCGCTTGAGAACTTTTGAAGGATTTCCTTTGTAAACTTAATGTACTTGTTATCTTCTTGTTTGGGTGAAAGAGGTCTTTCGAAGATCTCCTTGCACTTTTGCTTATCCTCTTCGGTTAATTCATTGAAGGATTTTAGTGTATCAATGATAAGATTATCTTGCATTTTGAAATAATTTAACGACTTGGTGTGTACTGAAGAATAAAAGCCTACTCTTTTTATTTGTATTTTCTTTAGGTCTACATTATTTTTCAGTCAGCTGGAGTCCGAGAAATTCCTAAAAGGAAATCTTATATGTAATTATGTATGAAAAAACAAATTTCTGATGAGTCATCTTTTACCTTATTCCTTGATTCGCTTAGATTTTAAAAATTCCAATAAAACAGTGGGTTTATTGTTTCTTGCGTTTCGCCAGGAGCCAACTTTTAAACTTCTTTCGGCTTGGTTCAGATCTGATAGCCGTTCCATCTTTGGTGGTCAATCTTACGATGGAGGTCATTGGGAAAAAGGCTTGATAGGTCAGGAAGCTCCGCGGTGTGGTCAAAGTGAAGATGGTGGTCCAGCTAGGGTAGTTGAGCAGCTTCAAGGTGCTCGAAAGGACCCTGGGCAGTTGGTCGGGGAAGTTCGTCAGGTTGATGAAGTATCGCCTCTTCCGAAAACGACAGCGGTTCACGTTGATCATATACCATTTGAATCCAAATCCCGAGTAGATACTGAGGGCCACGGATTTCAGTAAAGGTGCGATGTTAACCGACTTGCGCTTCCTTCCATGCTGCATATCCGAGGAATCCTTTGTTAAAGTCTTGTCCTGTACCCCCATGCTTGTCTTTATAATAAAGTAATTCAATGTTTTGCTCTTGACAATAAAAAAAAAAACGCAAGGCCAACTACACCGAACTTGACCCGCGATTAATGGCATCGAATTTAATCGATAACAAGAACGAGTATTTTTTTTTGCCAGGGCTGCGTTTAGTAAAACTTTTTAGTAACGAAAAAAAAATACCGAAATCATTTATCATTGCCCAGATATTGACACGCCCCGTCAATATAAATAATTGCTAATTGCTGGCCATGATTAATGTCTGGCATCTTTTGGCCGTTTGGAGAGCTATGGCTCCAAAACATTCGACTCGATCAATTTGCATAATTGCAATTTATTGTAAATCCGTGTGCAAATATGCAAGAAATTCGCAGCAGCTCTTTAAGGCAAACCAGAGGCCAACGGCTTTTCACGATTTGAATTTTGGATTTGTTTAATCCGACTGTCTGTTGGTTTTCCAGTATCTCCCTGTCATATGCAAATCACTCTGCGACTCTGACTTTGGAGTTGCAATCTTTAAAGACCACTAATTGCTGGCAACCCAAGAACAATCGTTTGGCAATCAATCAGTGTGTGCACTCCATCTGACATTGCTGCTAATTAGTTGTCAGTTACCCATATGGGTTAACTATTCAGTAATTCACAAATTGCCTACAAATTGCAGGAATGAATGAACCAATTTATCGGTTTAAATGCAGGGATGAAAGGTCCAATTTATCGGCTTGAAGTACATCTCTATGTGACCTATTAAAGTTAATAATTCATAATGACGTTCTGTGAGTTGTGTAAGTAATAAATTAAATGATTGCTTGATAATGATAATGATATTTTAATTGGTAATTATTTGAATTAATGATGATTTATGATCCATTATAGAACATAATGTAATCTACAACATCTATATGCTTTAATCTATTAATCCCCGCGTTGTTCTCATGTTCTCTTTACCCGAGCTCAAGGGCATTCTCAATTCAGACGATCTTTCAACCCACTCTAGACAAATAAAGTCTAAGATTCATTCACGTTTCCAAGTAATTTAACTAAAACGAATTTCGCTATATATCTATATACTGATGCCCATATGTGTGTATATATTTATTACAGATTAACCCGAGAATTAAATGGCGTGTGGCTTTTATGGTCGCTGGTCCCACGCAAAGTCACGAAAATTGGACGGAGATTTCTCATTGTCGGAGATTTCACAATTTGCCGGCGACCACGTAGCAATTCTCAAGTTCAACGGTGGAAAATGAAAAATGCTTTGTTCAACCGATTTGTAAAATCTTCAAAAAAAGAGAGTGTGTGAAACCACAGGCACTAGAAAGATAGCATTTTTCGCATTTATCAAGTCCTCCCTGAGGATTTTTGTAAACACAAAGCAATAATTCTGGTTAATTTGATTTACGATTTCGGCTGCAATTGGGTCAACAGAAAAAGAGACGAATAAAACCAACATTGGCACGTTCCAAGAAATTGCAATATCAACAATTACAACAATTGTAACTTAATTTATAATACTGCTTAGCATTTTCACTTTGTTTGCTCACGTTGTGCATATTTAATTATGCAATCGCTGCAATTCCCCTGAGTGCACAACCACAACAACAATATCAGCACGGGCAATTCATTGATAAAAAGCGTTGACAACAAGGGCTATAAATTAACAAGTGCCTCGAGAGGAGTAAAATCGTATAAACAAAAAAGAAGAGCCGGAAAGTCAACAACAAATAAACAAAAATAAAAAATTACAGACTTTAGAAACAAATCCAACGTTGAAAATATCTACAAAAACCAATATAAACAAGAAATATTTAAACCTTTTTATTAAATAATTTTAAATAATAACAGCAAGTAAAACTTTAACAAAAATTTTACAATAAAATATATTCACTTTCGGCTTTTAATTTTACAAACAAAATTCCACATAATTATTTTTATAACAACGAAAGTGTGTATCAAACAACTTGGTATATTTAATATAAACCACCTAATTTTACAAGAATTTCATCAATAAATCTTTTTATTAAGCCACTAAATCTCAGCAATAATTGTAAACACAAAAAAACTAAAATTAAATTTAAATTAAATTTTCGACTAAAATTATTCAATTGAAAAAAGTATTAATAATTACCTACAAATTCAAAAAATTAAACTACAAATAAAAACAAAAGTGTAAGAAAGCAATAAATACTAAAACAACGGTGAAAGTAACAGCAGCTGTTAACTTAACAGTGAGAGTGGGAGGATCAACAACAGTGGCGATAACAGTTCACCACAACAGTGAGAGTAACAGCGCATAATGAATAAAACAGCGCATGCTCACCACGCTGAGAGCGCCGGCCAAACGCCGCTGCCGATGCCTCAGCCGCTGCCGCAGTCGCAGTCGGCGACGCAGACGGGAAATAAATATGCGCCTGGAAGAAGACTAGCTGCACGGCAAACTCTTCGACTGGCCATACCAAAGTCACAAGGTGACCCACTCAACCATCCACCGAGTGTGGGTCTCTTTCGACCCTCACCCTCGCAACTGCCACCTGCACCGATTTTGAGGCGCGTGCCAGCGGTCAGCAGCTGCAGCACTGGAATACCGAAGTCCGCCTCGCCACTGGAATCTCACCAGCTGCCCAATGTCACGCCCACCACCGCCCACACCCGATTGGGCTACTCAGGTGGTAGTGGATGCTCCAGCGCCTCATCAACTTCCAATTTCCTGGGTGTACGTAAACCCAGCTTGACCCTGAACTCCTCGGACATCAGGAACAACAATGATCTGTTCGCCTTCCCCAAGGACATGTCGCCTGTTATGAGTGGTGAGTTATAGAACACCTTTTACCAGAAATTGTATAACTATAACTATTGTATTACTAGAATTTTATAATTGTAACATTTCTTGGGAGAAATTACTTTAATTTTCCTAGATTTACTTTAACATATTTATAATATTTTTTGTGTTCCCAATAGATCACTCCCACTCGCCCATGTTTACGGAGTTATCATCGGCTAACAGCAATGGATCACCAACACATCATCACCAACTGGGCAGATTATTCAGCCTGAGCCCTTCGAGCATCAGAAGTTACGGAAATGTAAGTAGAATTGTAAAAGATTTTTATAATATCATTGTTATTTAGATGGAAAAAATAGGGGGTAATACAGAAACCAAATAGCTATTAAAGGGTATTAATATGTTCCCACCACTCATACTTTATTCGGCCCTTTTGACTTTATAAATTCTCACTCGTAATAATTGCCGATGGCTATTTATAAATAAGCAGAGCGAGCAAAGTTCATGACTCACTTGGGGCTCTTCCCTGGTTTTATGGTGTCCATAAACTCTCACTCAAGCTTTTGTTGTGCCTCATTCGTTACCTTTTACAACCCCAGCGCCTCTTTTTAGGCTCATTTTGATTATAGTTTTGCATACACCTTAATAAATTTGACCATCTTTGGAGCAGAATTATAAAGGTATTACCAATGTTATATTTTTAAAGAGTATTACATATATAATAACTAGAATACATCGCAAATTATTTAAATGATTTCAAAAATAATAAATTCTAGGATATGATTTTATGATCCTGATCAATGGTTAAATAAAAAATATTGTTTTTTAGAGTGCACTCTTCAGTCCAAAGGCAAACCATGCTGAGCTTTGCACTGCCATATTTAAGCAAATACATAACTCACACCTCACACGCGACTCTTTCTGGATTGGGTCTCCCGTGGGGATTGGGGTCCGAACCACTCCCTGACTTGGCGACTTTCCTAAAACCGGCTCCGCGCTGAAATAACTCTCTCCCTCTCTCTATTCTTAACGTAAATAGGTAGAAAATATCGTCAACTTAATTAATAAATAACATTTAGCACGTTTTCAAAGCAGACGTAGAAAGGTGGTCGGTCGGGCTAAAGAAAGAGGCAAACGAGTCCGTACAGTATATAGCGCTAGATCCAAACTATTGGATGCATATACCGGGTATGAATAATCGGCATTTTGGCGTTGATTTTTAGCATGGCCCGTGCGTCGTTAAGCAAATTTCTCGTTTGCGAATACCCTTTCATGGGTATATTGAACTTCTCGTTGGATTTGATCTTTAATTTATTTATGGTGGTATCACCTTTGAGGTGAGAACTTATTAATTCGAGTAATCGCAGTTGTAATCAACGGGAAACAAAGAACTATTTGTGTTCACTGATAGATTGATAAGATGGGCAACAACCTTTTAATTAAAAAAATATAACCGATGACCTATATATTGGGAGGCCTTATACTTTAGCTGATAATATGACCAGCTGACTTAAATCTTTTTATAGTTGGTTCCTAACGTTTATTATCTGATTAATTTTATTTTTATTTATCTGAACTATTAGTATTTTAGGTGTATAAATGAAAATAGGATAGTTTCTATGGAATATGACTAGATTACCATCATAAGATTTTTCGATGGAAACATTTTAATATATCTGAACTTTATTTGTTTGAGAATACTAAAAAGACTTTGTAAAATATTTTAATTCATTACTTTTTAAGACCATTACAATTTTGTATTATCCCACAAATATTTGTATAGTTCCACAATTATTTTTCCAAATTATTTCATTGCCCTACTGATCTTTTAGGGTATTCCCATGGCCATTTCCCAACTGTTGATCAATTAATTTCCATCTCTCCACCGTTCTTAACTATTTGACAAGCTGTTCAGGGCAAACACACAAAGAACGTGAGTCGCAGAAGATTGTTGTTAATATAATATGAAGTTGGGCGTATGACAGCTCCCGAGCATATTAATTAGTTGGGGTTTGTCGGGGAATCTTCCCGGAGAGAGAGCCGCAGCGAGTGTGTTGAGAGTAAAAAATCGATAGGTAGCGAGGTATAGTGCCAGTCGAAATACAAACAAAGTCAACTCGCGGTTTGTTCACATTATAAAGCTCCCAAAAAGCAACAAACACAGGCGGTAAAAGCAAGAGAGGGGTACGAAAGCTACTTATAAACGGACGGACAACTGTGTTTTGGGTCTGGCATTTTATGGTTTTCGGCAAGAATTCCATTTTCAGTATTTGTCGAATTGAG